CCCCCCCCCCAAAACAAAAACCCCAGCACTTTAAATTCCACGCATTCCTTTGCCAAGCCAAGCACATGTTCAGAAGAGGCAGTGCATTAGTTGGACCCAGCTCACCAAACATCTGTATAAACTTGGTGCTTCAGCAGGGCTTTTCTGGTGCTTTTAGCTAATAGCTGATTAAATCAGCTATTAGCTAAAAGCACCAGAAAAGCCCCGCTGAAGCACCCTATGTATACAGATGCTGTGGAGCTGGGTTGAAGTAGCGCGCTGCTGCTTCTGGTAAAGTATGGGTGTGTTTGGGTTTTTTTTTAAGTGTCTGCAACAAAACCAGGCAGAAGCTGGTGAGGACTGGACACTAAAAATTTGTGCTTTGTTTTCCCTGTTTACCTCTCTTAAGCTTAGCTAGTTTTCAGACCTAGAATTATTGTGGTAATGTTAGGTTGATTATTATAGTTGTGGTGGTCTAGAAAATACAGTTTCCAGACCTGAAGAAAAATGCCCTATATTTGAAAACTTGTCTCAATCTATCCCAGCCATGCAGTTCATCCAATAAAAGATATCACCCACACATTTTTACCTCTCTCATTTGTATATTAGTAATTTGAAAGAGTAAGGAACAGTAAAGCTCTATCTGCACACTTATCAAAAATGTTATACTGCTGCTAGCATCAGTTTAGCCCCAAGACTGTTAACAAAGAGCCCTTGCTATCTGTGCTTTAATACCACATTATCTATTCCTGCATGTTGGAGGTTTATTGTACACAGAGCTTAAAACAGTTCCAGCAGCCCTCTGTACAACACCTTCCAAGATTATTGGCACTAATGGAGCTGGTGGGATGCCCCTAGTCTCAACTGGCTCTGAATGGTCAGAATTTGAAATCAGCTGAGAGATGAATCTAGAAAGTTGATTGGTCTTTCAACAATCCTTGTCAGTTTTAGCGATCTCAAAATAAATGCAGTCACCTTGGCATTAACCTCAAAAGGCAGGTGAGCACTTTGCCACTGTGTGCATTAAGTGACTCACGTGAGGCTTTTTATACCAGTACTCAGAAACTGGAACTAGACCCAGCAGAATTTCACCAAGCATTTTTCATGTGGGCCTTCTACATCAGTGTCCCTTCTAGTGGGAAAGGAGTCACATTAGTCTTACCTTGCTGTAATCAGACCACGAGCTGTAAAAGACATGTTTACAGAGGGTGGGTTCACGTCTTTTGCTATTCCATTTATTCTCTCTTTAGTGAGGTATAATTTTGAAATGGTTCATTTAGCCACTGCTAAGTTGTTTCCCCTCACCCAACATAATTAACTACAAAAGTATCTTAACCATTTACCATAGCAGTTGTGACACAAAACGTATAAAGGAGTGGTGAATATTAACATTTTTGCAAGATTTCATAACTGGGCATAGAGATGGGAGGAAACACAGATAAAAACTTGAGCAACAAGATATGAATTTGATACCATTGTTCTTAATAGTTTCCAGTATGCTATGCCAGGCTCAGTAAGGCATCCTGGAGGCATGTTGATAGTGCAACATGAAGCTCTGCACAAAGTATAAAATGAACTCATTGGAAATCTCATGAGAGCATCTTAAGAAAATGCTGATCCTTTTTTGTCTGGGTTGCACATGGAATTTCAAGACAGCTATGGAGCCAATATATTACTTTCAAGAGTAAAAAATAAATGTGTGCTTGCTAGCTCACTTTGGTGTATGTGATGGATCTGTGGTCAGTAAACGGACTCATCTCGGGTGTCTCTGGGTGCCAATGTGGGACTATTCTAGAGGAGCTACAGTAGACTGAGAGAGTAGCCTGTACAGATGATGTGCCACGTGTATACCCGGAGTGCATAGCTGTGATAGTTACGTAGCTGCAGATTGAATCACTTGCAGCTCCCCTGCCTCCTACCTGGCTAATATTCCACATGAACATAAACACACGCCAAAGGAACAGGATGAGATCACTTTCTACGCTGTTTTTGTCTGGGGATTTGAGATGGTATCCTTGTTGCATTCTTCTACATATGACCTACCTTGATGCTAGCTTTTTTCTTCCAGCTGGCAAGGCTGGACAGCTACCTGGAGTGCAAGCCCCTCTTCCCAGGCCGCTGTCTCCAATGAACAATAACATGAAGACATGCAGTAACCTTTCAAATCCACCTGATGGTGCAAAAGCAGCAAACCCATGGGAGCCAGCTAGCGCTCTGCGGGCAGGACCAACTCGGCCCAGCCTGCCTACCCCTCCACTGCCACCACCTCCCTCCAGCAAACCTTCCCTCACTTTCCCATCTCCTCCATCTCACCCTCCTCCTACAGACAGGCCTGCAAAATTGACACCCCAGAATTTTGTTTCTCCTCCCCTGCCACCTCCCCCACCTCAGTGTGACAAGCCTGCTAAATTTCAAGCATCAGCTTTCCATCCTCCCCCTCCACCACCTCCTCTGCCCCTAACACCACCCTATGGACTTCCAGTCAAAAATGATCTTTCTAGCTCTTCTCCTTCCCCTCAGCCTGAACTAAGGGACTATCTGCATCCCACTCCACCCCCACCCCCGCCTCCACTGTTTCCTCCTTATACTTCCTCCTCAACCAAGCCATCCTTGCCACTGCTGCCCTCACCTGCCCCCTCCAGAGATATAAACAGCAGTGATGTGCCACCTCCACTGCCACCCAAATCTCCATACTTGCTGTCCCAGTTTCAAAAGCCAAATATTCAGTCCATGCCTCTCCCTC